CCATTACCCTGGATAGCAATTAATTCATGTTTCCATTGGTAAATGGCAAACCCGTATTTAAAGACCGTCCCATTAAAACACGCGACATATGGGGACGAAAATCTTGATTTTTTCTTTCGAAATCATTACTTCTATAATTTCTTGTGTCCCTAGCTTGAAATCTTATCATGTGTCCCTTTTTGTAAGAGTCGAGAATACATTTTGAAATACTTCCCTCATATAATCTATGCAAAGGGGACATATTTCAAAAATTGGATTTTCCTTGCACTCAGTCATTGAACGGGTATTTCTAAGGAAAGTTTAAATTTTCTGTCTGTTTCTTTGGATCAAAAAAAAATTCACGAAAATGGGACTGAAAAAAAAGTGCCATGATGAGTTTTAAAATAAAATTTTTTTTCTTCTAAATTGTAGATTCAGGGAACTCCATGTCACCCAGTTTCAACCTCATTCGTTTCACCTTTTTGCTGGCAGAAAAAAAAGTATTTACAAAAGCGACCCACCGAAAAGCTGTGCTCTGAGGAGACGCACAACAAAAGTTGAATTTTTTCTTAAATCATCATCACGTCCGTTATGCGTGCGCCAGCTACTTTTCTATTCCTGCCCAATTCGCCGGGCCATGAAAAATTATTTAAAAACGTTACGTCCCCAAGAAATATGCCCCCCAAGAACATTTTGGAAATTTGGCATTATTCCTCAGCTCAGTGCGTTAGCAGTCACGTTCTTGGCAAGCTTCAGTTTCCATGTGTCTCCGTTTCATTGAAGCAAAGATAACTATTTGAGAATATGTTCCCCGAAAAGTGTGCCACTATAGCATGTAAAAGTAGAATTTTTCCTGAACTTAGCATGCGAATAACTACTTTTGTCAGTCAATCAGCTACTCAGGATAGTCTCTTTATAATAAAATAATAATTTTTTCTTTCCTTACCTTTCCATCAGGTACTTCTTTGCTAAGTTTGAACTTTCTAGCGCACTCCGTTTGGCTGGATCTAGAAAATAAGCCTTTTACAAAATATGTGTCCTAAGGCGTTTTAATCGAAAATTACCTCTTTTTTCTTTACCGAAATCAAGCCTCAGAGAAATACATGCCCACAAAGTTTCAACCTCATGCGTATGCATTTTCCCCTGTTGGAAAAACATGTTTGAAAAGCCGACCCATCCACACGCTATGCCCTGAGGGGATGCTCCATGAAAGCTGAATACTCCCTCAACTCAATAATATCATGTCACTCATATGTGTCCCAAGATTCACCTTTCCATTACTGTCCAATTCGCCACAACATTTTTCTTTTGAAACATCGCCCCTCGGAAAAATTCCCCAGAGATTTATCAAGACTTAATATTTTCCTTTAACTCCTTTTCTCAGTAGTCATATTAATGCAAAGTTTCTGCTTTCTATGCTCATCAGTTTAACTAATGGAATAAAATTATTTGAAAACATCTACCTTTGAAATGAATGCCTCCAGGGCATTCATTTCCAAAGTCTGAAGTTTTCTGCAGCATCCCAGTAGTTGGTTATGTACCAAGTTTCATCTTTCCACACTAGCTCAATACGCCAGGACAAAAAAAAATTTTTGAAAACGTCAGCTCACAAAAATATGCCCCCAGGGCATGTATCTAAAAGTTTGCATTTTTCCTGAACTCATCGTCATGGTAGGCACGTCTATCCCAAGTTTCAGCTTTCCGTGTCTCTCCGTTTTGCTCAAGCAAAAGTAATGTTATCGAGGGGGAATGAGTAACGCGACATGAATGCAAAAAAAAAGATAAAGGAAATCCAAGGAGTAGCCGGGAATTGAACACGGACCTTCTGATTGCCAATTAGATATGCTACTACTACACCATCGAACCCAGCGCATCCAGTCGATTCTCTGAATGCCATCCACATCTGTCACAAAATATATTTAAGAAAAACGTTTCCCCCCAAAATTTGTACCTCCAGGGCATGTAACTCCAAAGTCAGATTTTTTCTGAACTCTTCATCCCAATAGGTACATGTGTACCAAGTTTCAGATTTCTAAACTTTCTAGAACATGGTTAGAATCAGCGTCAGTCAGTCAGTCATGATTGTCTGAATATATTAGAAACTAGACGTCACACCATCACACGTGAAGTACATGATATGTATATGCAAAATTTACACCACGTCATCTGCATAAAACTTCAGCTGACCATCCTGCAGTTGCAGTAACAAGATTCCTCCCTAGATGGAACCCTTGTTCCCTGCATCCGACAAGTTCTGGCTTTCCTGTGATACTATCAGGTTTTCTTACTATCCTACTTTTATTATCCAATCTATGAATGGATATATGGAAAACATGAAATAATTATTACATATTTTGTTACTATATATGACTCAGGGAATCACCAAATGCTGAAGTTAAGCTTTTAATTACAGCAGTGCACTGGATTAGAGATGTGAAGAATCCCAGCCCCACAAATACTACATCTCTATTCTAAATGGAAGAGAGCTCCTCTGAATATCTACACCTTCTCCCAAGGTTCCAGTACGGGAGGAGGAAACAGGTAATATCAGTAATCTTTAGTGCTGGTGAGGATGAGTATTCGTGTACTTGTCCAACCACCCTAGAGTTCTGAAGTTTGGAAAAGAATGGGAGATACAGTGTATCAATTCTCTTCAAAGGTACTGATTGGCTCGTTAAATACACATGAATGCTAGGGCGAAATTAACATCAGCTTTACATAAAATGAATGTAAACATGCTGTTTGGAATGCAAACAGGAATGTCCCTTTAACGTAAAGTTTATTTGAATTTTACATCATCGTCTACGTATCACAGAGGTGACATTTCTGGAAACGTGTTGATATTATCTTGACAATGGTTTGCATAAAACATATATACAATGGACAAAAAGTTACATTCATTTCACGTAAACTAAACATAAACATGCTGTTTGGGAAGTCCTCAAAAATTTATTTCCAACTTCTAGGTAGACAGAACTTTCTGTCAGAAGTTGCCTCTTTTAGTAAAATGCCTTCTTTGCCAGTGCTATTCTGCTTGATATTTCCTTTTCTACTTGGTTCATACTTAGTTATCTTACTTCCAAAGTAGTAAAATTCAACCTCCTCAAACTCTTCGTTGCCCAATCTTGCCTTTTCCCCATCCCGTTTCTTCCACATACCTTCACCTTTGTTTTGTTCCTATTAATTCTCATGTTGTACCTGCCCCTTAGCACTTCCTCCATTTCATTTAAAAACATTTGTGTCTCTATCTTCCTCCGCTAATATTGCTATGTCGCCTACGAAACGAATCATGCTGACTTTCCATGAATTGTCACTCCTATGTCCATTGTTTCCCTGCCTGTCAGGCCCTGCCTAATTTGATATGGAACCACCCATATATTTTACTTAAATAGGGTCTTGGTGAAGAGTCCTACACACGATAGTCGCCTTACCTGGAGTGGCTGTCATTAGTACCTTTTGTCCTCATATTAATCATTTGGGTCAATATATGTAAAGAAGCATTTCGAAAATGAGAATGCTCCTTGAAGATACAGATATTGGGTGTTCTGAAAGAGTTAGCATTGCCTTTACCTGAACTGTATTGCTTTCATGGTAGTATTGGCTAATATTGCCTGCGGGGAGCCTGTTCCCCATAACTCAACTACTTTTCGTTGCTCCACTACTAGTAGGAACTCTTATCCATTCTCAATGACTCGTAGCTAGAATTGCTTTGGCGCGACAAATTTGGATGGAATTTGAAGTGTCAACTGGAAGCATACTCATATGAAATGTGAAGTTTTCGCGAAAAAACGATTGGGAGAGAAGATATTTAGGCAGAAAGTCGTTTGTCTTTTTTGCCTTACCCTGTGTACTGCATGTAGTTATATTTCCGCTCAAGTAAAAGGGGCTTATGATGATATTTAACGTTAGGCACACAATATACGAGATTATCTGAGAGGAGTAATGACTGCGAAAAAAAAACATTGGGAAGTTTTTGCCACCTCAAAATAAATTATGGATTTAACCACAATCCCAGATAACTTCGGCGCGACCTTATAAACTCCCTAGTTTCTACAATATGGATTGACATCACCTTTACACAGTTCAAAGAAAGCATATACAAAATAAAACAAATGGGTTTTGCTCATTTGGATCCTTTCAATGTTGGTCCCAAGGAGCCATTTTACCCCTCCTGTTTCCCCAACAGAAGGCCAAATATTACAGGATGACACTGGAATTTTTTACTTGACGAATTTTTTTTGGAGCTGCGAGTATATCCAGCGAGTATATCCAAGGTCCCACATATAAGGAACTGTACGCTGCCTGTACGTCATTACAGTGCCTCTATGAAATCAAGGATGTGTCCAGGTTACCCCTGATCGACATGAGTATATTCCCCATCCTGACTTGAATGACAAATTGAAAACACTGCATGCCAACTGCAAGTGAAGCGGTTACCGCTTTCCACGGGCTTTCTAGAGGGACCATCGAATAATTTTGAGGATTAGTTTTTGTATCCATGCTGCAATTTAGAAATATCCGCTTAATTTCATTGGGCGCATATTAGTTTCATGGTCATGAATTGAGGAAGTCCACGCAAATGACCTTCAAAACTTCAATTTATTTAAAAATCCTGCCAGAATTGGATTCATGAACAAATCACAAATTTTTGGCAAATGGTCGACAATTACTCTTGGATGTAACTTTATTCAAAATTCACACAAACTAAATCTCATTTCTGCTAATATCGAGATTATGTTGTGACGGACTATATTTCTCCAATGGCCATATTCCCCAAATTACCCTATCGAGCAAGTTGATCGCCTTTCAATTCCATGAAGTTTTTAAACATTCTTCTATATTTCAAACTTGATCACGAGGTTGGCATATAAATAAATATGCTGGAATTCGGCTGTAGAAAGCATCCGACTAAGCATTTTAAAATACAATAAATGTCACATTACTCGATTGCATTGGAAATACATCGATAGTCCGTGTTTGAATAAGCGAAAAAATCAGCGCATGGGCATGGACTAAGGATTTTAACTACCCAGGCGATTCCAGGTCGCAACATTCTCATGATGGGTGAGAAGGGGGGTGCCATATGGGTGTAAATGGTAGACGAGATACTCCAGAGCGTGCATGAGAGTGGGGGAGACATAATGGAAGGAGACGGCCGTGTCTGAACAACACTCGGGTCCTTCCGTGTATTTGTAGTGGGTGAATTCGAACAACCAGTCATAGCGGTAGTCTGCAATTGGGTTGAGTTGAATCTCTGGAGTGAAGGGGAAGAATCGCCAGCGCCCCAACTCGTCCCGGGAATCACCGGACTTCACTCCCACTGCAGACAGGCATTCCCCTGTTATCATTTGAAGAGAAAATGCAACGGTCATTATATAGTTCCAGTGACTCTTCAGCTGTTCCAATCAACTAAAATAAGAATCATATGAGATTGGCAGCTGGAAGGATCCCGTTTTAGTCTCAGCTTTTAAATTACCACATTAATGATGATTCAGTTTGACCAGCATTTGTTGAGGAATGTAAGTGAAAACACTACATGCTGGTGTAATTTCTTTGGAGATGTCTCTCCCACACTATTCTCCAAGGATTTAATTGAAACCTAATGGAAGGAAGTAGTCTGAGGAGTTGGATGCAGATTGTCTGCATTCTCCCGATGTAGGGTGATAGAGATTTACCTGGATTACGATGAGCCGTTTGGAAAACATTGGGAGTAAATATTTTTCCTGTACCATCAATAGTGTGATAAAAGTAACGAGACTTTGACTATGAAATCTAAGTATTTTTTAAATCTCAAATCATCCAGAAACTATGCTTCTTCATTCATCTATAACATATTCATACACATCATTACATCCTCTGTTAAAATACATTAATTCGGTATAGATAAAATAGCACTCATGTAGAGAGAAAAACAGAAGAGTATCAAACCGATGGAAACGTCTTCACCCTTCCCTTGAAGAGGACAGGACTTCGGATTTTGAAAAGCCTTCTCCACGAGTCTCTTCAATGCCTCACGGCTCAGCACATATCCTCCAATAAGAAAATAATGTAACACGTTATTAAAAATAATTCAATCGTGATTGCCTACGATGCTAGATTTCGAACATACGTTCTGACCTGCACCCCCGCTCATGAAACCATGGAAGCGGCAGCCAAAGTAAACAGGTTTCAAAGAATCGTGATTGTGTAGCATGTAGCGGAGATTCTCCATGACGACATATGTGTCATCATCTGCTTTGAGGAACCAGTCCGAATTATTAAGATGATGCTGGTACACGTATTTCCAGGCCGCATGTGATTTGTCCAACAGATATTGCCGACCTTCCTTCACATTCAATGCCACGGAAGGCAACGATGGATCTGCATATTCAGTAGTCGTGGTTTTCCATTATTTATTGCTGTTCTTTATTGAGAGAAGCAAAGCATTGGTATCGGACAAAGCAAAACTGAATATGTTTCCCGATTTTCCCCATTGAGTTAACCATTGAGGTTAGTTGGTTTGCAAAAAAATTCCCTTTAAATTGTGAAAATTGCAAAACATAAGCAGAAAGCCAAACGACATTTAGATGTTCTCCACATGAAACGTTACAGTGAGGAAGAATCCCATGATCTTAAAAATCTGAGTTTCGTTTCACTGTCAAACTTCTGCCGAGCTTCATTGCAATGAAGATACATAATCATTAAACCGTACCTTCCTTGGTGCTCATAAATAAAAGCTGATCGCATCGTTTTCCCCAGGTTGCTTTCACGTGCTTGGCTTTCTTCTCGTGATTTTCTGGCTGAGTCAAGATCCAACACAAGACACGCACCTTCCTCGATCGCTCTGCCACAAACTTCCTTTCAGCTGCTCGTAAAAGAACACAAGGCTTTCGAAACTTGAAGCTTAAAAAGAGAATGACCAGGTCATTAATAGGATGGGTAAGAACCCCATTGGTTGAGGTCTTGTTGATATTGGTTGAGGAAAACAACATTGGCACCCATGTCATGGCGATTCCAGGCCGGACCTGTCTCCTGCTTAACCCTGTAAATTGAGGAAAGCTCTGAGTTCCTCCTGACATTTTATTCAATTCATTTGGTACAAGAGTTGTTCCATAGGTATTCTTAACAGAATATAATGAAATTGCTTTCTATATCCCAATTATACGAGTGAAAGGTGAAAATATACAAGGTATTGAGGGGAAAGGAACTTTCACGTGCATTGGTATTCCCCACAAATCCATGCTTTAGTTCAATTACTGCTTTAATGGAATGGGATTTCAATGACACCTGTAGAACTTTAACATATATATAGGATTGAGATAGAATTAATGTCTTCATTAATTTAAGTTTCCTATCGAAAAGAATTATCATAAAGATTCCGACGTTTGGAAAGATTGCTCTGAATTAATTTTCCAACAAATTCTTCCAAAATATACCAATTAAGAAAGCCCATCTCATATACTGTATGTAGACGATCGTGACTGACTGACTAACGCTAATTCTAACCATGTTCTAGAAAAGTTAGAAATCTGAAACTTGGTACACATGTAGCTTTTGGGATGCAGAGTTCAGAAAAAAATCCGACTTTGGAGATACATTCCCTAGGGGCACAAATTTTGGGGGGAAACGTTTTCCTTCAATATATTTTGTGGCACATGAGGATGGCATCCAGAGAGCCAACTGGACGTCCGGGGTTCGGTGGTGTAGTAGTAGCATATCTGACCGGTAATCAGGAGGTCTGGGTTCAACTTCCATCCAATCCTTGGCTTTATTTTGGCTTCTTTTGCCTTCCATGTCCCGTTATTCATTCCCCCTCCATAGCATTATTTATGCTTGAGTGAAACGGAGACACATGGAAAGCTGAAACCTGGCATGGACGTGCCTACCGAGACGATGATTTCAGGAAAAATGTAAAACTTAAATTCCATGCCCTGTGGGGGCATATTCTTAGGGGCCGACGCTTCCATGTAATTTTTTTTTCCCTGGGTTATTGAGCTGGGGTGGAAAGATGAAACTTGGTGCATAACTATCTATTGGGATGATGCATGCAGAAAAATTCAGGCTTTGCAAGTAAATGCCCCAGGGACACAAATTTCAAAGGAAGGTGTTTTCATATAATTTATTTGCATTAGTTAAACTGATGAACATGGAAAGTTGAAACTTTGCATCAATGTGACTACTGAGAAAAGGAGTTAAAGAAAAATTTTAAGTCTCGATAAATCCCTGGGGAATTTTTTTCGAGAGGCGATGTTTAAAAAGCAAAATGTTGTGGCGAATTTGACATTAATGGAAAGGTGCAACTTAGGACAGGTATAAGTGACATTATATTGTTGAGTTGAGGGAGTATTCAGCTTTCATGGTGCATCCCCTCAGGGCATAACGTTTGGGTGGGTCGGCTTTTCAAACATGTTTTTCCACCAGGTGAAAATGCCTACGTATAAGGTTGAAACTTTGTGGGCATGTATTTCTCTGAGGCTTGATTTCGGTTAAAAAAAAGAGGTAATTTTCGATTAAAACGCCTCAGGGCACATATTTTGTAAAAGGCTTATTTTCTAGATCCATCAAAACGGAGGGCGCTAGAAAGTTTATGATTGGAAAAGTAGAACCTGATGGATAGCTGAGTAAATGAAAAATTATTCTTTTATTATATATAGAGGATTGTGGTAGCTCACTGACTGACACAAGTCGCTATTTGCGTGCTGAATTTAGGAAAAATTCTACTTTGGTGATACATGCCATAGGGGAACATATTTCCAAATAGTTCTCTTTGCTTCAATCAAGCGGAGACAAATGGAAGGCTGAAACTTGGCAAGATCGTGACTTCTGACGCACTGAGCTCGGGAAAAATGTCAAATTTCCAAAATGTTGGAATTTTGTGGAGGGGGATATTTCTTGGGGTCGTTATGCTTTCAGAGAATTGTTCATATCCCAGCGAATCGGGCAGAAATAGAAAAGTAACAGCTGGCGCACGTATAACGGACGTGATGTTGATTTAGGGAAAAATTCAACTTTTCCTGTGCGTCTCCTCAGAGCACAGCTTTTGGGCGAGTCGCCTTTCCAAATATATTTCTTACCGCCAGTAAAAAGGGGAGAAGTACAAACTCAAACTGGGGGACATGGAGTTCCCTGACTCTACATTTCAGAAGAAAAAAATATTTCGCTAAAACCCATCAGGGCACTTTTTTAAAGTCCCACTTTCCTGAATTTTTTTGATCCAACGAAACAGAGACCGAAAATTTTAGGGTAGTACCTGTTTGATGGCTGAGTACAGGAAAAATCCTACTTTTGAAATATGGCCCATTAGCATAGATTATAGAAGGGAAGTATTCAAAAATGTATTCTTCACCCTTACAAAAAGGGACACATAAAATGATTTAAAGCTAGGCACACCAGAAATAATAGAACTAAAGATTTTGTTAAAAATGAAGACTTTCGTCCCCGTATGTCACGTATTTTAATCGGAACGTACTTTAAATACGTGTTTGCCATTTCGCAAAGAATACATGAATTAATCACTCTTCAAGGTAATGGAGCGCTGAAGGCGCGACCATAGGTAGTTTGCTTGCCCGAAGGGCAAACAAATTCGCTAGTGAATATATACACTCTGAGTTATTGACGTGTTAGCATGGTTTGGCGCGTTACTCCTGAAAGTAGCTCGTTACAATTGCAAGTTCCATGCAAAAAGTAATTCGTTGCCAGTATGATGATTTACACCAAAAGCAACTAGTTACAAGAAGAAGTTACTTTTCCTGAACAACAATTCTGATCTTTCTGCGCCTTCTCATCCTCTTTTACAGAAGTTGGATGGATGTACTGAAAGCGAAAGTTACCCATGATGCCATGAAAATTTAATTCTGACCATCACTGCACTGGATAAATCCGCTTGCTGACTCTTTTCCCTGTGCCTCTTTCCGTCACATGGTGTCCTCAACAGGAATTATATGCAGATAATCAGAATATACCCTTCAGTTTTAAAAAAGCCCTTGGTGGTGGAAAGATCTACTCCAGCCGGCCAGCTCCAGCCGCCTATCATCAGTTCCAGATAGAGAAATGTAAAAAGCCGAAGTCATGTTTTCCTTTACCAGACTTCAACTGCACAAATCTAGACCATTTAGTGGTTGAAAATGAATTTTCGTTAACTTTTTTAAATGTACATGGTATTTTTTATGGAACAATCACGGAGATGAGGGTGCTTCGGTCATGAAATATCATGAACAGGATCAAGCCCAATGTTGTTAAATATGGTACAAATTCCCTTGAGAACCACTGTAGGCTAATTTTTAGGATGTGCATTTGGAAGCGCGAATGCTGAAAGTATTTACGGAGTCTAATGATGGATTGTTGGGAGGATGATAACAGGGCACTTGAAATGCGGCGAGGTAACCAGAGTACACCCGTCTGCCGAAGCCTGAAGAGTATCGGACAGATTTGAGGAGTGATGTGCCGTTGGAACCTCTCCTCAAATTAGATGCTGAAGTTCCCGCGACAGAATGTACCATGGCTACTAGCAAACATAAAGAGCACTTCACACATTAGTTTCCATTCATGCAGTGGCGTATTTTGGCTTAATGGTCGGTGGGGGGCAACAGAGTTAAAACCCACCCAAGCGATATCGGGAGAGGAAAGTATTGAATATTACCTCTAAGGAGGCGCAAGGCTGTGTCCCATTGGCGCCGGGGGGAGGGGGAGTTACCCCCGTAAAATACGCTTCTGCATGGATGGAACTCTCGACTCTCTCAACTCGTTCCTAACCTCCTGCACTTCAAAATATGTCTGCAGATACGGGCAAGAAACCTGCACTGAATAAACCATGGTTTCTCAAGGCAATTTCATCTCCCCGGTTTCCTCCCAAATTTGGCATCAATTAGGATGCATATCATCATGAGACTCTGGTTGTATTCAACATAATTATTTAATCACCAAGAAAAGGAACGTGATACAGTAACGCTACATACTTTCCCCATGAAAAATAACTAATTACCAGTTCCGTTACCTTCCTCTGAAAAGTAACTCGTTACCAAAATAGTTGCTAAAAAAGTAATTATTTACAGTAACGCTTAACTTTTACTTCGTTACCGCCAAACACTGCATGTTAGACATTTTTATTTCTCATAATTGTAAATCACAGGAACTCGTATGAAGAGAAAGAATCCTTACCGATCATCATAGAAGATGTTGTAGGGTTTATGGCAATCGATGGGGCAATTGGAAGAGAGCAGGAGGTACGCAGACAGGAAACCCCCCAAAACTCCACAAAGCAAGGCTCCAAGTGTTTTTTGCTTCCGAACTCTTTTGAATACATAAAGAGGAAATTGAATTGGGCAATTAATTTTTGCCTCTTTCAGAGGCTGGGTGGGCTGTAAGAGAAGGCAAACATGGAGAGAAAGACGGTTTTATGTCGTTGTTTCCAAAACGAAGCGCCTCTCCTTACACCATGTGTAAATTACAAATGATTTTACAGATTAGCTAGAAATACAGAAATCTGGAGAGTTATAGACAAGAAGAGTTATAGGGCATTAATTGGCAATGCATTCATGAACTTGAATCGCGCAACTGGTTGCTATACGAAGCTGACATGTGTCCCATTTAAATAAGGAATTTCAGGAAAAATGACCTACGGAAAAGTCATGCTGGTGGCGAATGAACATTACTGCATTGAAACTATTGATATATTAAACTTTTACAGCAAAAAGAAAATTTATTTACTCATACATTTTCTTTAGCTGATAAATATAAAAGAAACTCCAACACCGTTCGATAACAAGAAGCTGCACTACTTCACTAATGGGGCTGCCTTCCAGTACAAAAATGACGCAGAAAAAAAATTCAGAAGTCTTGTCATCCATTGCCAAGGTTTGCACATATATACTTCTTGGTATTTCTTTGTAACATCGCTTGGTAAGGGACCATGTAATTTGGCTGGTGACACCCTCAAGAGGTTGTCAGCCATTGCAAACTTCCAACTTCTTATGGTAGCCAAATCCTGACAGCCTCTGAAGGAAATATCAGATGAATCCAATAGCGAAACGGATCAAACTATATGAAACAGTTATAATACAAGTAAGGGTGTTATACTGTAAGTTCATGTAGAACTTTCTTTCATGTAAAATAATTATCATACTGAAAACGCCACGAAATAAATAATATTATAGAAATTAAGCTGTAGAACCAGTTTTCATGAGAGGCTATATTGAACAGAGGCCACAACCGCCCAAGATTAGAAAATTCATATCATTTCGATACGTGACTGTAACACAAAAAACGTATGTAGTGGAGCAGATCGTGGAATGCTCTTTCATATGACATGAGGCATATATTTATCTCGTTCCCCACATTGTAAAAAATGAGGTCAAATTTCGCTGTAATCCCAAAAAAGAGATAGTCGACTTTCATTTTCGACATGTGGAATTGTAAAAAACCGAATACTCATGTAATAAAACTGATCCTGAGCTGGACTATTCGCCCTGCAATTCAGGTTTTGTTATGTTGACTACCACGAGATATAATGGGGTTGTGAAATTCTAAGAAATTGGTACCCTTCGAGCAGGACATGTTATTCAAGTTCATACTATCCCTTATTTTCTTGGTAACAGTAGGATTCTACTGTTTCATACATTTTATGTGAGCCATTACACGCATTTGTAGCTAGTGCAGTTTGAGAGTTACGAAATTCGCCCGAGGGGTTGCACGTGCCTGAAATCGGATATTTTCCTAGTTCATGTATCCTTTACCATCGGAAAGAAGAAAAAAAAATTGATTTTCCGGTTTCTTGTAAGACCTATTAACTCTGAAAA